ATAGCCAGTTTTCTTGTGCTTTACACGATCTGCGTCTGTTAACTTTTGTAGTCGTGGAGAGTAAACTTGGGCGGTCTTTGTGTGAATAAAAATTTTGATTCGAGGCCCACAAAACTCTGGACTGGAAAAAAAATTGGTGCAAGACTTTCGGATCAGCCCAATAATATAGATGTTAGAGCAGTAGTGGTGCAGTGTTACCTGTATTTGTCATTCTGCTAAACCCTGCTTAGAGTCTCAGGACAGCCTGTATGAGTTTTAAGAACTGTCGGCTAAGCACATAGCATTTGGGATGGAAGAATAAAGAACGGATGAGAATTGTCGATTGTATCATACAAGTTCCGCCGGTAAGTGCTCGGAAAAAAAGAAAGAAGTCGAGAAAAAGTCATTATAAAAATTTACTCAATAGTTTATGTACATTCAGTAATGCAATTTAACTGATTTACTTCCTTTCACTGTCCCTACGACCAGCACATTTTGTAGAACTCAGAACGGAAGACAATATTATTATACAGTAAAATTAGTTTTTTTTGTAAACAGGAGATCATCGGGTTAGGATTACACTTTCATGAATATTATACGCTCTCATGCACTATACAAAATACATGTATATACAAAAGTGACTATATTATCATTATTATTTTTAATTTACCCGTAATGCCATGAATTTGCCACTTCGGCATCCATCATGTAAATTTCGAAACACTGCTTTTCCATGCTCACGAAAGTCAGCATAAGGGATTTCATAGAGGGTTTGGAAGCCCACCTGGAATGTTACATTATACCCTTCCATCATACCTTGTGTTAGGAAAATTACCCGTGAGAAAACTCCTTGAGATGCAGATGCAGTCGCAGCAGTTGCTACCCAGTTACATCCTTCACATCTCGCTGTCTCTATAGCTCGTCGGGTTAGTTCTTTACCTAGTCCACGCCTGAAAATATGCGTATTTGCATAATTCGAAAAAAAAAATTAATGTTTATTGGTCGTTACTCACCCTTTATATT